AAAACATTATTTATTTAGTTTTAAATTGAGTTTTTATGCTTAGTCCTTCAGGCTTCTCAACAAAAACAGTACAAACAAGATTTCCATGAAATGTGCCCATGTCCCTCACATTGTATCAATCCTCATGACTCCCTGAGCTTTCATAAAGTGCGTTTATCAATAACTAATGGCTAGATTTTTATAACATTTGTACAAGAAATGTTAAATGTGATGAACAAATTTGAGCATATTTATGTTCCATAGAGAAGGAATCCTTTTTTATTTTTAAAAACAACAATATTTTTATTTGCTTCACCTTCGAGATAAAATGCCATGAACCACATGACCACTACTAATAAAGATAAAGGATTTTATTGATTGCTATTTGAAGAACTGACCTATCATAGACCTCAATTACAGTCTATGGCTTCTGTCTCTCAACTATCAGGTATCAGTGTTATTAATAAAAGCTGTCGAGTTGATTTTCCTCAACAGAACTCACTCTGCTCTCTTCCCAGTCTTCCCTGCTTACCGGTTCACAGCTTCCCGTATCATCGCCATCCATGTGATGCGTTCCTCCCTGGAGCCCGTGTGGATCTCGTACATTTCCGGCATGCTGATGGTGCACGCGCAGATAAGGAACATGGCTTTGTCGTCATGAGCCACTTCCCTAACTATCAGCCTTTGAAGGGAGATCACTGATGGTTTGTTATCCTGCATGAGCCACAATAATACAGCAGCTGTTATTATTATTCTTATCACAATCAGTGCTGGATCATTTATATTATGGAAGATATGATCATATCTGGATGTAATGGTTTAAAGAAAAGAAGCTGTGTCTTGGGACAAGGAAAAGGTATAAAATAGTGTTTGGCCAGAACTCACCACAGCAGCAAACACAAGCTTCTGATCTTTCTCTTGTAAGAGGAGGAGCACGTCTGACAGCAGCACAGCTTGGACGTCTGCAGGGAGACAAATGCTGCTCAGCATCAAAACAACACAAACACTCGATGTTTTGACTCAAGCTGCTACGGAAGATGAAGACATGACACAACCTTTCCATCATGTGTGACAGTTAATCTTTGAAGCTTAGGTAATGACATAAAAATATGTTGCCATACTGGTTTCTCTGAATCTTTCGGTTTTCACAAAAGCAATTTGACCCCAAGTTGAACCTCTTATTACGATAAATGACAAGAAAAAGTACAAATGTCTGCCCTATAAGACTGCAGTAAACCACTGAGTTTAATCTAAATCAGTCCAGTGTGTACACATATGTATGTACGTACACACAAAGACACACTTTGGTTTACAATTTGACCTTTGGTGACCCCATTAGGGAAATCGAAAACAGTAGCTGGAAACATGTAAAAGTTTTGTGTCATGTGCAAAAGGATGAGAAGAATCTGAATGAGTAGAGAACGATGCAGTTTCCATATACAGTGGATGTATTGCAGAATACAATTTAGTCATTTTTAAATGTATAAAACAAGCTTTGTGCTTTTTCCTTGTTGGAATAATATGCAGTTATTAAATACTTGTTCCGCCTTCTCACAAAGATACCGCCGTAATTATTCTGTCATTTAATCATCATCTCTTGCACAAGGAAATAAAATAGTTTGATGATCTAGGAAGTTGTGAATGAGCTATGTTGTTGGAAGATTCTTCAAGTCTGATTAACCTATTAAAAAGTGTTTTCAAAGAAGATTTATTTCCTTTGCAGTGCAGGGAACCACACACGTTCACGAATGCTTACACTAAGAATATCCAGTAAAACACTTTACTTTAATGGTCATTGACTAAGCCACAGACAAACAGCCACAATGTGAACTCGTCACAAACCTTTTTGTCTACCAGAGGACTTCCAGGTGACGGTGCCTTCACGCAGCAGCATCCTGTCTCCCTGGATCAGATCCTCCCTGCGGAACAGCTGTCCGTCCCTCATCCGACCCTGAGATTTTGGCTCCAGGCGCAGACTTATCTCTCTCAGACGAGCTGCTTTCTCGTATTCACTGACCTGATCGTTCACCTGGGAGATGGTGTCTTTGATCAGTGCCAAACCCTGTACCAGAGACTTGTACTCTTCTGTGTCAGCTGAAAGGAAAATGATATAATTTAGGTAACCCAACTGGATTTCTTAAAGGTCTACTGATGAGTTTAACACTGAGAACTTGAGCATAAATGTGAAAACTATAATGACTTGTGGAGCTGCAGGTAAGTGATGAGGGCTGAGAGTTTACCTTCAGTGTTCTGTATGATCCGCTCCACCAGGATGGGATATTTTGTGATGCGTTGAGTCACCAACATAAAACACTCAGGGATTCCCAACCTTCGCACGAGGGACACCTGACCTATTTTCTGTCGTTAAAAGAAAAAGGTTTTTCAAGACTTGCATCACTCCTGCCTTTCTCCTCTAAGCTGTAAACGGTCTTAAGTGAAGCAGCACAGACTATTTTCCTTTTGTGGGTTTCAACATTGTTGGTGGAAATGTCACTGTTGAGGCCAGTCTCTTAGATACTGCTACTGGTGGTCCAGGTATGCACCTAATTCAATTCAATTTCTTGTTTTTGCCAATTCCAGAGCCTCTCTGCAAACAACCACAGGCTTTACTGTGTCTAGAAAATCAAATACATACACTGACCAATAAGTGAAGACTGCTTACCCTCATAAGGATCTGCAGTTTCTTGTTGTTCTGCAGCTGCTCTTTATAGAAGCTGATGGCTTCATTGTGATGACTGCAGAAAAGACTGTAGTACGCCATCATTCCTTCTCCCAGCTCACCTGAAAACTAACACAAAAAAGGAAAAAAAGATAGAGATATAAATAATAGATAAAATATTTGTAAAAAGGATACGATTTAATAGTAAAGGAACAATGTTGCATTGAAGTTACTGCCAATGTATCAAAATCCATGAAAAGGTAGCATCTCTCAAACTAATCAAATCGAGGACAAAATACTAATTTTACTGTTTTTTTGGCTCGCATAAACAAAACAAAAAACGCTTGGCTTGCACATTTCGGCACAGAGCCTTCATCAGAGTGTTTGAAGTATATGTTTAATTCAGCAAATGTTAAATAAAATCCTCTTTTTACCTGCAGTGCTGCAAAGGCTATAATTCAGAACAGAAAGCTCTGGTGTATCGGTGCTTTTATGTTATTCTAATTGCTCAGTAAGGAAAATCCCCATTACCACAGGAGCAAAAATGCTTCTCCAGGAAAGTGACAAAACATAATCCCTGTGCTTATTGAGCAAAGACACACCCGTCTGCAGTCTCTTATAGTGCGTTTCAGACATACCAACTACTCCTATGGACACCTGTACACTCAGCACTCGCAGAGAGAGTGGTTGGGTGGGTGGATGAACATAGATGAACATACTAGATAATGAGCAAGGTCCAGTTTAGCAGGAAAAACAGGGCTTTACTATAAACACAATTATTTATTCCTAAATATAGCCTCAATTTTAGATAATTGATTATGAAAACCTCAAACCAGTTCTTGTATTTGTGGCTGTCACAATATTAAACAATGTCAGTGCTGTGTGTTGGGCTGTAAGGACACCTGGGAGCAATGGTAGCAACTTATGTACACCTTATATTTAAAAATGGAGGTCGCCCACATAGGAAAACGTTGTCACTTATTTCAATCTCTGACAACTGAATTGCTGGTTAAGGTAGCAGACTGTTTGTTGTAGCCCTCTGTGTGTAGATATGTAAACATTGCATTGAGTAGACTGTGAACCTGTTCACCCTGTGTGTAGGTGAATCTGAGCGTTTTAGTTGTGCAAAATATAAAATGGAGGACATAAAGTGTAATAATGTAATCATTTGGATCAAGAACATTTGGATAATGTTGATCTGTTTAAAGTAAATTCATGATCCTTTTGAAGACCATCCCTTTCCCTTCAGTTGTTTTGCAGAAGACATGCATGGAAAAGTACCTCTACCCTGCTGTGATGTTGTCATACAAACTTTACTGCCATTTTAACCTGAAGGTGAGTAAATAATGACACATCCATTTAAAAAGGACTATTTCTTAAACTTTGTATGTTTGCAAACAAACTTTCCCTCAGAGGAACCGATGATACCCCTCGTCTCTACTCTCTCTCTGTTGCAACACGTTGATTTAAGAAGCCAGCTGTGGCTTTAAAATGACTCTACGCTACCTGAGAGATGAGAATATCCCCCAGTTGTGTGATCTGGTAGTTGTTTGGGCTTCCTTCCTCTTGACTTTCATTTTGGCGTACTTTGAGGCAGTTAAGGAAGTGCTGGTGGAGGATGAGCAGAGGCTCCACTCCAGTAAAGAGTCGCTCCAGTCTGGTCTCTTCTATCAGCAAAGACTGCCTCAACTCATGCATGTAGACATGGAGAAGGATTTTTAAGGTGCGTACATGGTGCATCTCCGTCTGGATCAACTCTAGGAAGTTGATAAAGAGGGATACCTTGATTAGTATATTTGAAAGAGGTTCAAGGTTCAATACCTGAAACATGTAGGAAAACACATGTGGCATACAATGACAATAACATCTGGATACTCAACAACTTGTGTGTTTGAGCAAGGCATTTAGCTCTAAACTGGACTAGTGAACACAAAAAGAACTGCTGCTGAAGATGCAACAAAAACAAAACCATGAAAGTTAATACAAGTAGCCCAACAGGTAAAAGCTGGAAAAATGTGTTAACCATTAAAAGGCCCTCTGAGTTAAACAATTATACAGTGCAATAACAGTGCAATACTATGTTCTCTGCCATCAGTAATCAAAGATTTATCTTCTTTTTAACAGGTGATTGACATAAGAAAGACAATTTAGGAGATGATAAGCGATTACTGAAAATACAGTTTGTTTTTTGGATTCAGGGCTCATTCTTTAACAGATTATCCATTAACAGAGTCAGCGGATTAAATTTACCATAGATGACATCCTGTCTTTGACCAGCCTCTTTGTTCAGGGCCTTCAAGTAGTTCTGGTCCACCGCCGCACTCCATGACTCCGCCTCCAGGTTCTGGGCATTAACCTCGAGCTCGCCTTGCAGCAAAGCGTAATGGGAATCTGGATGACACATAGAAAGTCACACTAGGACTTTTATCGCCCAAAACAAGTCTTGTGCTTTGTGGTCATATGAGTGTGTATCTCAGTGATTCATTACTGGTCAGGTTACAGGTTATTTTTAATCATTTTTAAATGTCTTACTTCTGCAACATAATTTTCTTTATATGGGATCAGGTTTAGTTGTTTCATACCGTTTCACTACTTACAAAAATACAGGAACAAACATAAATCTATTCAAAGAAAATATAAGTATTGAAGCTGCTTCTAACTGTGGATTTTTAATTTAAAATGGCTGAATTACACATTACACATATTATTGACCTTTCTATAAGCCGATTATTAAGAAAAAATATGATGAAATAAACAGCATTGAGTATCTATATCCTTGTGTTAGATAATTTTTATTGATGTTTAATATTGTCAATTCTTTTTTATTCCCTGCCTAAGATGACATTTATGAGATCCCTTTCACTAGATCAAAAACTGAAAAAAGCTCCGATTACAAAAGCTTTCTTTTGCACACCATAAGGTGTTACTGAGAGGTAGATAGGATACAAACTCTTGACTGGGAAGAAATACAGTTTACACACTGATGGTCACTTGTACTGACTTTAACTATATGAATTTAACCAGATTACCATTATAAAGTGAGTTAAAGTGGTCAACAGTGTGTGAGATTCCTTGGTTCCTTTGTACGGTGTCACATACATTTCATAAGAGATAATTAAACTTAAAATAAATAAAAGACTAGGCCATCCAAATTAAAACTACAAAGTTTCCTGATCCTGCTGTTGTGACAAAGGTACAGGGAGCTTTCAGCAGTTTCTCATCCTGCCGACGGCGACCAGCTGACCTTCTAGGTTGATGGGCTCAGCCAAGGAGGAAGCCAGAGACACAGAGTCCTCAGTGGTGGGCTTAATACGAAGGCCTTCGACCTCCTCCATCTGCACCGGACCAGATCTAGTTGGTATGTGATGATGAGATAAAGCTCAATGGGTAAAAGTGATTTCAGCGCACAAACAAAAAAAAAAAAAAAAAAACACACACTCTAACAGGCCAACAATAAACCCGGATTTGTATTTCAGCTGCTAACTCTTGACTGGAAAACACTCTGTCATGTAGAGTATGAGGAAAAACTAAATTAAGACACTGCCAGTTGTGCTGTGAATGTAGCCTAAGACACAGGGTGCATGATGGAAATGAGTTCTTAAAATACATGTTCACCAACCTGTGGCTTGTGTTGTTGTAAGAGGAGGAACCAGACTGAGCACTGTCCTTTTTAGGGGTGACGGTCATGCCTGGACTGGGGAAGCAGGCACGGAGGCCATAAGAGGCTGGGGGAGAAAGTCTCTCCCCAGAGCTGAGAGAGAGCAAGAGCAAAATGGGAGATGTTGATTATTATTTGGGGCTTTTTGCTTATTTTATTAGATAGGAACAGCTGAAGAGAGACAGGAAAGGGCGGGGGGACAGAGGGGAAGGAGGCCCAGGGCTCTTAGTACATGGTCCACACTATCAGGTGAGCTGCAGGACGTCAAAGAGTTTTTTATTCAATAGTAAATGCAGATAAATGTACCTTTATTTTTTGTTTCTGAGAGCACTTTGTTGTCTCACAACCCCTTAAACAGACAGGAAAGAACTGTGAATGGAGAGTGCATTTCATGCGGCTGAATCCAAACAGGTTGTTGCAAAACTAATCTAGTCCTGTAGAGAGGGAACTGGTTTGACAGATTGCAACAGCACAGCTCAGGTCAGACCAGCTCTCAGGCAAAGACACAACAAAAGAAAACACAGCGGCTACAAACGTTGTATATTACAGTGACCCGGGTACAGTAACTGTCTGCAGTT